TTCTTAAATACCACTCAGACATGGAACTTACAGATGTTGAGGAGAAAGCTGTGATACATTTTTTTTGCGTGATAAATACTGATCTACATGTGAAATTAGATGAAGTTACAAGAATGCAGGCTGCAAATGAGTTCAAGAGGAATGTTACAACTGCACACAACATTCTTGGACCTCTTACTGGAGAGTGTAAATATTGTAAATGATTCCCATGAAGCTGAAATGTCTAATTTCAAGAAAAGCTGTCAGAAATCCTCATGCCAGCGTTGTAAGGGGATATTGACTGCATATGCTTGTGGTCTGGAGGGCGTTTGTATGGGTAAGTGGTGATGGTCATTTGTTTCTCATAAATGAGTCATTCTGAAAAATGAAAATGGTACTTCACATGTAGCTGGTTCGCAGCTTGATACTATTAACCCTCGGAAGTACAAAGCACATGGGGGGGGGGGGGGGGTTGAGGTGGATGCCCTCTCCCCCATCCTCTCCATCATCCTCCAAAGGAAATTTCAAAAAGAGGATTTTCGCTATAATACTGAATCTTTCTTTAGCTGTTCATTCATCCTTTGCAGAATTTTTGATTAGTCAAATGGTGTCCATGATGAATGGCACTTCCATGACAACCCTCTAATTACATGTATCTCATGCAAAAAATCAACTGTTTTGACATTATTCTCTATTCCAAACATAACTAATCAATGATCAATGACATAAATGGGTAATTAATGAGTAAACAACTGATTACTCTTTGAGTATTGCTAGTACTCAATGAGTAATCAGTGAGTAATTGAACACCAAAGTTTTGTGGAGCATCAATTACTCATTTATCCATTGATTTATCCACTGATTTGAAAACATTTTGACATATGTCTAATACTATTGTCTGGTAATTTGTGAAGGGGGTTTCTGACACTATATCTGTTGCAACGGTAATGATGTTATACTGTGAAAAGAGCCCTCAAAACTCAGCTTTTACACAATACCTCAAAAAGCAATTTAGCGACCTGCCATTGTTTCCCCAATTTTTGAAAGCCCTTCAGATTTTCTGTTGTCTTTTGTGAAGAAAAGGTCCCTGAAAACCTGAATTTTGTATGTGATTTGTAAGCACAACTTGGGATCAGTGCACACACATTAGCAAAATGGCAGCTTTTCTCTGATACAGTTTGGCTGTTAATGGAGATATATTGCGGTTAGTTGTTAAAAAAAGCATTTTGATGAATATTTGTTATTGCACAATAATGGTGCATTAATCTTTCTCATTTTGTTAAGAAATTTAAAATAAATTAATGGCTTTTGTTCAGACAGACATATAGACATAGCTGTCATCGGTGGGAAATAATAATGTGAAAGATGTGATATCATCAACATGTCATGACTGTGGCACAAAGGAAGGTCTGAGTCCATAATGGGAGTCAAATCTATGACCTCCCAAACACCAGGCATGTATGATTTATTAATTATCACATCTTTCACATGACACTGAACTCGTTAGAATGTGTTATGAAAATGAATTTGAAAAAAACTATATATTTGCTACAAATGCTGTTCCTTTCGCAGTTGCTTGCAATGAAGGTAATGATACATCCACAATGGCAAAGAGTCACCAGGAACAGGAACAAGTTTAGAGGGTGAACATGACGATAAAAAAGTGTGCAGCACGTTTGAGCAGACAATTTCTACCACAATTACTTTTTACCAACTCAAGAGGTAGGCTCTGTAACTTTTTCTATGATCTCAAGACTTTCCTACCGTTCCAACTCTTGTTTCACCTTTCGTAGGTACTCGTTAAGGAGGTTGGACCACTTGCTCAGCATTTTCTTCAATATCCAGCTTGTACTGGCGCTTCAATTTTCCAGTGCCTTGAAACACATCAGGGTACTCCTTCAAGACTTCTTCCATTGAAACGGGGCACTGTCTACGGTGCTGAACCTCTATATTGACGGCTATAACATTTTTGTGTTGCACCCTGACCAAATCCATCTGCTGCATTGTTGGATTTCCAAGCATTAAGTGTATATTGTTACAGGTGTGATGTTGTAACGATTTGTCTATACGACGTGTCAATCAAATATTCGCTAACCAAAAGGTTTCAATCACCAATAATTGTGTAATAAGATAAATAAAAAAGTGCAATAATGTTCTATTATCAAACAAATCGAAATCAAACGATCGGGTTTGATTGATTTTTTGTTCGGTTTTGTTAGATTGACCACGCAGGTTTTAAAATGCGTATGTGATTTTTCGCCTGGTGAGTCAAGATAAACAGGTAATGCAATGGTAGTATTTAATAATATAAAATTCGGTTTACACTTCTTTAATACCTAGATTTTATAATCAGGGACTACTTTTTATTACTTTTACAGGTAAACAGAGAACAATGAAATCTTCACAAAGAGTTGAGCTGAATTACAGAGAGAGTCGTGAGGTTGCAACTAAGTCTTTCTTTTCCAGTCAGTCAAATTAAGCTCCAACTTGTAAGGAACTTATTGTAATTTTTTTTTTTTTTTGTCAGCAAGGTTTTAAGAAAAAACGGAAGATTAAATGGAGTTCCAGTACTCATTGATATGCTTTTCACTCTTATGGAAGTTCTACTATTCAAGCTAAATATAGCTTTTAAGCTATTAAAATTAGAATTTAAGATATATCTATAAATGGTGTGTGAAAAGCACCTTACTAGAGGTTATCTTTTTTTATTATCTTTTTGCGGAGGTCTTGAACTTCCTTAACCAGATTGGGAAATAGATATCATCCAAGGAGGTAAAGCAAGCCACGACAGCGACGGCAACGAGAACGTTGCGAAACAAAAGATCTGATGAGCAGAACAATAAAGCAGCACATGTTTTTTAAAACTTTTTACATCTCTTAGCCTCCCGTACAGAATAAAAGCGTGAAATCACCATCATTTACGTCCTCTTAGCGCGCGATGGCCACAGCAGTTGAATCACGCGTTAGCAATTTGGTCACGTTTTCACAAATTTGAACTCAACCCTACATCACATGCTATGCAGTAGGGAAGGTCCGTCAGAAACGGTAAAGGCATCGAGCTACTGGCGAGATTCGATTCTTCAGGAAAAAGGAAGTTCGTATTTTCGGTAAGATTTTAAACTCCCTAATATTACGAGGCCGACCTAAACATTCCCAGGTATCAGTCACATACATTTCACATAATCACGGGAGAGTCCAAACTTCAATCATGCGGAAACTTCAGCTTTCATTTCCCTCAGCATTACCGACTCACCTTCGGATTACAACTTCCCTTTCTTGTGGACAGAAACACTAAAACTCGAAAACTACTCTTTCAAATCACTTGTCAAGAAACGAACATCAAGACTCTGTTGACTCCGCATCAGGCCGGCGGAAATTTCAGGCAGGTTAGAGAAATACTATTTAGTTTAGACGAAAATCATACGCTTTATTGTGAGCTCTGTTATGTTTTGATATGTTCGCTATAATACGCATGGTGTAAGTTAAAATTGGTGTGTTTTGTTATCGGTTGCGGTATCATTGTATCAGAGTCCTTCTCTTGGGTAAGGAGCTCAACGAGGCAGTGTTTTATGTCACATAGGAAAGAAACCTGAATCCCTTTGAAGTTCAAGTTCCATGAATGCAAAAGTAAATGCAAAGACTTTCGATCGACGGACCCATCGAAAAAGAAAAGGGGAACCCCCTTCTGCAGACGTCATAATACAGTTCGTACTTTCTCTTTCCTTAAACGGCATAAACAGCATCATAGTGAAATAATATGACGCCGGTCATATTATTTCACTATAAGATACGGTATGGAGAAATAGTTTTCTATAGCTTTCTTACGTCCTTTTAACACGAGCTCAGAGAATAGCAGTGGTTAAAAATACCTGTTTGTCTCTAAGAGTAAACAGCCATGTCAAGATGCACTTGAATATTAGCGGCAAATCGCTACGCATCGCCATTTCCTCAGCTTTTGCGACGTTCATCAACCATTGACTGTGAAAAAAAGGTCTTGCTTAAGAGAGATGGACAATTTTCAAGAGGTGAAACTGAAAAATCTATATAAGCAAACTTTCTTAAAACCCCATTCTTTTAATTCTGCTCACGTTTGACTTTCATTTCGTGTGCCTATTTATAGCAAATTGGACAAAGGGATTCCAGGCTTTCCCCTTTCCTAAATTTTCCAAATCAGACGGTCATTGTCTATTAAACAACTTTAACTCTTCTTTGAAATATGTGTTGTCAGTAAACTTCCTGAATGCGGAATGACGAATTCAAGGAGATTCCCCATCACTAGGTATATATATATACACCATTTTGATGGTGAATATATATACCTAGTGATTCTCTGGCGCAATGAAACTGAAACAGTCGAATACATACTTTAAGAGCGGTTTTAGGTCTTAGATAGAAAATTTACACCACCCGCTAATCTAGAAAGTGACATAAATCTTGTAGTGATAAAAGGTTTTGGTTGACGTCGATTTCAAGCTTTGAGGAGTTGTTGCGGCTGAATTAGAACGTCGCGTCGTTATTGAAGTATTAAACTTGATGATGAAGGGAGGCAAGTGATAGAAGTTGGATAAAGGTAAGACTTTCTGTAAATAATACTCTATCTTTTAATGCAATTTTCAATTAAGAGAGAACAACTTGCTTGTTGATCAGAGTGGATGAGATTCAGCGCCCATTGCGTCTGAATTGTTGCGTGACTTCGGCCCGTATCCATACTTGTATAAAATTATTGGCAGAAAAAGTTTGAATTATCATATATTTATTGTAAACTAACGTCGGAAACGTTTATTCATACATCAGAAACTCTTACGAGGCAGTTTTGCACTTTGATCAAGGCCTTGCCTGAAACAAAATGGAACCATTGATAAGTAGTGAATATTTGCATGTAAACCTGGAACGCAAGTTATTCGTGACATCAGCGTTATTTTGAGTCTGTTGCTCAATCCCTTACGTCACTCTAATTTATGCAAAGTAGTGATACGTGATAATATTTTTTTACGAAGTGGCCCGTGTCAATGTGAAAGTTATCGAGATAAACACCACCATTGAAGTGGATTTAATTTCCATTTTTGGGGTAAATTTGCGATTCAGCGTCAGAGTTCAAATATATACTTTGCTTTGAGGATATTGGAAAAGATTATGAGCGATTTTTGGATGGAGTAAGAAGAGGACGATGTTCGATTAGCACCGCGCTGACGAAACAAGATTTCAACATCAACGCGGTTTCTGCTTGCATTTGTAAACAGTGCCACAGTCGTCGAAAAAAATTTGGATCATTTGCCGCTGAATCTCAAAGTTTGAACAGATTTCTCTTAGAGATAGTTACGCTGCGAGCGTGAAGAGAGAGCGACTCTTTTCTTAGTCGAAAGAATCGCTGAAAGAAACAGTACGTGATGTTTACATCCCTGTCATGGTGATGTGCACGTCACGCAGGTCGTAAAATCACGCACATTCTGGAACGGACGTGACGAGTGGGTACAGGTTCACTGTAATTATAGATATCTACAAAAATTGGAGAGTAGAGGCTATATATGCTTAAGTTTGTGCGTTTATCCTCATATAGAATTTTCATTCAGAGGAAAACTGTGGGCACTTTACTGACTCATTTCATTGGCTGAACTATGGTTGTCACAATCGACGCAATTGTGGATACTGATATGGAATTCGTAAACAGAGTAGACGAAAGGCTTAATTGCCCGATCTGTAAGAAGGTTTTCGATGAGCCCTGGCAGACATCGTGTGGACATCGATTTTGTAGGCATTGTCTGGAACGTCTTTTAGGGTAGGTCGAAATTCATCATTTACTACTAAATTCTTATCCACTCCTGCTTTCCGCCTGAAACGAAATTGCTTCAGAAAAAATTGAAATCTGCTTTATTTACATTTCTATTTGGCGACTGAAAGTGTCCACTTACGGGTGTAAATGAAACCACTAGCTATTTCCTAGTTACGTCCGACACTTTTTCCGCCTCGGATGGGAAAAGCCATCTGGTTCTGTCGAATTACCAGGAATAAGTGCTGAATGAAATAATAGATTTTATAGTTATAGTTAACTTTTAACGGATTTTCTCTTTCAGACAAGAAGGCCCAAGATGTCCGATAGACGGTGAATCAATTTCAAGACAGCAATCTTTTCGGGATAAATGCTGTGAGAGAGAAGTTCTTAATCTTCAGTGTTTCTGCCGACTTAATAACAAAGGATGCGATTGGAAAGGGGAGCTCAGACATCTAAAGGTGATGAGTGTAATATTTGCATGCACCTTAATCGATCTACCCAAATAAAGTGGTGTTGTGAACTTGCCTGCCCTCAACACTTAGAACACAGTCCTTGGCTGGTTGAAATCTGCAAACTTTCGGGCAGTTAACGCTAATTTTTCTTGGCTGAGACGTAGGTGAGGTATATCTCGCCGCTGAAAGGTGCAAAATCTTCGAAAAGCTTCTAGAAAAATGCAGTAACCATGGCTGGTCACGCACGCAAACATGTTGCGAAATTTTCAATCAAATTGTCTCGGCTAGAAATTTCTATCAAACACGACAGCCTAGAGAGGTGCTGAATTCTAATATTGAGGGAGCTTATTGCCCGTGTAACGATAAAACATAGAGATTTCTATTTAAAACTTTAAGACTATCCCAGAAAAATTCTTATAATTCAAATGATGAGAGTGGCGTGACTTCTTAACATTTTTAAATGCAAATACCTGCCTGTAAGTCACAAGTGAGGTATGAGGTAGCGAGAAGAAGTGAAAAATAAAACAAAATTACAAAGCAGAATTTTAAAATTTACTATTATTTAAGCTCCATGCTATTTTTTTTAACAGACACACGAAGATAGCTGTCAGTACGGTAATGTGAAATGTCAAGCGTGCAGTGAAACTGTGGAGAGGAGACAGCTTGCGGCGCACAGGGAGCAAGATTGTATCAACAGGGCAGTGGCGTGTACTTACTGTGGTGGTAAAGTTCGGCATAGCAATATGAAGGTAAGATGATCAGCTCCATCGTTAAAACAAAAACAAATTATGAAAATTAAATTTTATTTTAAATCTATATCTTCAAGAAACCGATACGGATTAACACCGACATGCTCAACGTTTGCCTCAAAATATGGACTGTAGGGAAATGCCAGTTGAGGTTCACGTCAGCACATACATGTACATGAGGTTTATATTTTCGAAATTTACATCAATTTGGTTTGGTCTGATGTGAAAGAGGTGTTAATAATATAATCGTATCGTCTACACTGCTTAAAACCTCGACTTGACCTCAACTTGTATCTAATATCTTTTAAAGGACCATTTGGATGTCTGCCCTAAGTTTCCAATCCATTGCTTCTTGAACTGTGGAGAAAAAGGTATACCAAGAGACATGATGGAAGAACACATGACCAAACGTTGTCTTAAAGCTGAACATCTCTGTCCTTTCAGCGTTCATGGCTGTGAATTTAAGGTTAGTTAGTTACTTTTTGTCTACTTTGTTTGATTTTTCGTCTCAATATATCATTTATATAAATGTCTTAGCGAAAAAGGATCTAAGAGCAGAGAATAGCTTATCGGACCCAATATAAAGACCACCTTGTGCAATTTGTATTGCCACGATCTAAATCAGTTTTTCTTTTTCTACAGGGCACTAAACAAACAATCGATCAACACATTGCTGAGAATATCAAGTCTCATCTTAAAATGATGAGCTATTCAAGCCATGAATGTAACGAGAAATCAAAACAGATGGAAGAGAAGATATATCTTCTAGAACAAGAAAAAAGTGCTTTGGAACATCAACTACAAAATCAAGCAGAGGTGTTGGCAGCTGCAAGACAAAACATACAAACGCAACAGACAAAATTGTCCCACGTAGAAAACTCCATCATCGAACAAAAGAGGACAACTGAGAAATTGCTTGCCGATTTGAAGGCTTTTGAGGCATTTAGAACTAATGGGGATATTGTCTCGTCTCAGATGGAAGAAATAATGAACACTCTGCGAGAACACGAGAAGGAGGTGAGCAGTCTTCAGGGTGAAGTGGCTCGTTTGAAATTATCCCCTGCCACGCCGAAAGGTGCGAGTAACTACCGTCCAAAATCCGACGTGTCTGTCACTCGTGAGTCCGAGCGCCGGCTGGACAGGAATGAGCACCAACTAGCACTGCACGACATTCAATTGTCCGATCATGATATGCAGATTCAAATGCTGGAGGCTACATCGTATAATGGCACCTACTTTTGGAAGATCGACCGCTACAGCCAACGCTTCCAAGAGGCTGTTACTGGAAAGACTCTATCTATTTACAGCCCTCCTTTCTATGTAGGACGGTTTGGGTACAAAGTATGTGCTCGTCTCTACCCCAATGGAGACGGAATTGGCAAAGGAACGCATTTGTCAATGTTCTTTGTTGTCATGAGGGGTGAATACGATGCTTTATTACCTTGGCCGTTTCTCCAAAAGGTTCATTTTCGACTGATAGACCAGGACAGGATCCGGGACGCTTATGATGCGTTTCGCCCTGAGCCTAACAGCTCAAGCTTTAAAAGACCCACGTCAGACATGAACATAGCATCTGGCTGCCCGACGTTTATTTCTCACATAGAACTAAGGCAAGGTGGCTATATTCGGAACGATACAATGTTCATTAAAATAACTGTAGATACTACTGGTCTGCAAGGAGATATGTGGCAGTAAATCCTTGCCTTTTACAACCTCTCAGGTCTTACATAAGACCTGAGTGCCTGGAACAGACCCTAGCCCAACGGTTTTTAGTGGTTTAGTCGGTCAAATTCTCTTAATCGTGTGCAAAATTTGCATAGTGCAGTTTGTTGTTATCTATTATTCTGAAATTTGGATCTGTTATTTATTTCTTGAAAAACCAAGCTCCCGCGTCAATCTTTAATTATTTGGATATCTATTGTAATATAATGTATGTTAGTTTTCAGGCACTAGCGAAAATTGCTCGTGTGGGTCCATGAAAAGTTACCTGTAATTATAAGATATTTATAAAGTGTATTCGAAAGGCAAAAGACATAGTATTTATTTATGGAGAGAAAGTTTATGGAAACAAAGAAATAAATATTCAACTTCAAAGTCCAAAATGTAATTTATTGCAGAAGACAAAACGGTATTCATAAAATTTCCCTCGTTTTGGGCAACACTAGGAACAACCCTTTACCAAAACATGTGCTTTAACAGTGACCGATTACAGAGACGGTTTTCCCTGAAGAAAATATGTCATCTAAAACTGTGTTTTTGGAAAAAAATATGATATAATATTTATAACTTCAAATATCATGACTTATGTTTTGAAAGCGGCCTGGATAATATTTATAATGCTTTATATTTCTTATGACTCTCAGAAAATATTAACTGTATATTTAATATATAACTGAATATTTATTTTTTATTTGTAATTTTGTAGATAGCTAAAAATATACAAATAAATCATTTTGAAAGAATATTGATATGAAAAATTGACTTTATTAAAAAAAAGATAAGTAAGGATACATCATCAATAACTTTGATTCGGTATTTCAAACTCATTATAGTACAGTGTGTGTTGTGAATTTTTCCAAAGACGTTATAAGTGAAAGAGTGTGGCTCAAAACCATCCACTTCGTCGTGATGTGTAGCCTCAAAAATTTTGTAAGCTGTGACACTTGGGGTCTTACCTCCTTGCCCTTGATAAGTTGAGAAAAGTTTTACAGGTCTCAGGTGAGAGGAAAGACAGCATAATGCGCCTGGACCTTTATTTAGGGGGAAGTTAGTATGTGAGCATTATGTCGCCCCATGTAAGGTAATCCGGATTCCAAAATCCAGGAAATTTTTGCTCGTGGAATCCGGAATACTGGGCATTGGAATCCAGAATCCAGCTTTTGGAACCCAGAATCCCACTAAAAAGTGAATCCAGGATCCATTTCTTGAAAATCCATTTTCATGAAAATCCATTTCAAGTCGTATTAACGGCTTTCACGCGCATCCACACAACCCGGTCATGCTAAAACACAGACTGCAGACCGTGCAGACTGCGCTTATTTCGCCGAAGAATTTCGACTGTTATAGCTCGCTGTTACCTTTAAATCAGCATCACTGTCTACACAAATTACGTCTGCAATCATCTTGGCGCGTGGGGCTAATCTCCATGTGCTCGAAAAAACTTGAGCCTGCGATTTTGTTTTGCTAGGTAACGTGGGCTCCGAAATAATCTCGTAAAATTTCGTTATGTGGTGTCCAATAATTGGAAAAAGTTCCAACGTTATCATGAGTAAGGAAAAGGCGTTCGCACCTTAATCATATGTAAATCACAGTTTAAAAGAAAAGAAAAAAAATTGCACAGTCTTCATGGTCTGTGTTTTATCGTGACCGATGCAACCACTGTGCAGTGCAGTTTACTCACGTGTTCAATTATATTTCAGTTTTCCCGAAAGAAAAGTTTATCCCTTAATTTGCTGTAATATATTTCTTGTAATTATCAAATGTTGTCATGGAAATATGAATAGAGAAACATGCATTCACAAACATGTTCTTCAATAAATAAATCCGCCATTGAAGTCATTCCTAGAGAACGAAATGCGAAAATTAGGAGCAAACCAGAAACTAAAATCTGGAATATTTTGTGTTTTGGAATTCGGAATCTGCAGGGATAGAATCCGGAATCCAGCACCTGGAATCTGGAATCCACAACGTGGAATCCAGAATCTATTACTGTCCTGGATAATCTTACATGGGGCGAATTATGTTGTAACTACTTAATCTCGTTGAGAAAAAGATTAGCTCATTTTGTTTACTGAATCCCTTCCCTTTAGCTTTTGCTGTCTTCTGATTAAAGCTACCAAAATATATCATGAGAACGAAAGAGAGTCTACCTGGTTACGTTGCAAAGCAATGGTCCACACGGGAGAGAGGAGAGCTTGCGTCATGTACGGAATGACAAAAACAGCCTAGATCTTCAGACACATGGGGAGATATGGGCTTTGATACTCTGGGAATAAGTAAAGGCCACTAGTCAAATTAGCGATGTAACCCTTCTAATATCAAGAGATAGCAAGCGCCTAATCAGAAAGAGAACCAACGAGTCATAGGATGATTAGAGCTCATTCCAACTAAAATCACTTTAGACTAAATACTCTGTTATACAACTACACTCCAACTAGTGAAGTTGATGACGAGAGGAAATATGCATGTACTTGTATGACATTTTGCGTATGAAAGGTACCTCGGCATAATAAGTCCATGATCATTCGAAACGTGACTAAAAAGGTTGGAGCTAACAACATCAACTGTTAATGACCTATGGAAAAAAACGTCTTGGTGAGATTAACGACTTTTGTTTAAAAAAACTATTTCATTGGCAGAACAATCTTGCCATGAAAGAACGTTCATGAAAGTACGCATATCGACATCCCCCAGCGGTCAATGAGCTGCAGCGAGGGGCGGTACTTGTGCAATATTAGTATAGGTAATCACATGATTTCGAGTGCAATTTGGTAAAAATAAGCACGAGTAAATCTTTTCAGACTAACGAGTCCGTTGGGTGAGTGCAATTTGTGGTCTAACGAGTGCTTATTTATTCCAAATTGTACGAGAAAAATCATGTGATTACGTGTTAATAATATACATGGAAAATACGAGATAGCTTATCATAGTTATCCAGAAGCAAAGCGCCCGCACCAAGTTTTAATTCAAATCGTGCGTGCGGTCAAAACAACCACGCACGATCATATTAACAATAATATACAAGGATATTTTCGAATCTTTAAGGCGCAAACAAGTTCAAAGTCTGGCTAAACAGTTAAAGGAATTGTTCAGTCTGTGTCCGAATCACTTTCGATAAAATGGAATTGTCGTTTGTGAGGTTTAATCATGTTTGTTGTTAATTTCGGCGTAGAATCGCTAATTCTCGATTTCCTTGGCAATTCCCTTCTTTAAACACCGCTTTTTCCAAACCGACGACCAAACAGCAGTGCTTTTTATAGTGTTTTCGTTGTTAAAGCTGTTTTTCAGGTGCTGTATTAATTGTTGTTGCGCTGGCGTAAGAAAACCTACTGAAAACGCTGGCCATTGTTTGCTCGTAATTTTCAGCGTGTCCAAATGTTGCGACATCCAAGGCTCGCATTTGATTGGCTATCTGTGAGTTTTTTGATTATTGACCAATAAGAATGTCTAGTTTGTTACTTCTTTGCACTGAATTAACCATCTTCTGCTTTGAATCACCTGAAAACTGCATTAATCCTAGCCAATCAGAATCGAGTAATTTTTTCATATATATTATTAAAAGGGTAAAAGTGAAGATGGTAACTTGAGCAGGAATTAAAGTAGTAATAGTACTAGTAGTAGTAGTAGTAGTAGTAGTAGTAGTAGTAGTAGTAGTAGTAGCAGTAATAGTAATAGTAGCAGAAGTAGTAGTAGTAGTAGTAGTAGTAGTAGTAGTAGTAGTAGTAGTTGTAGTAGAAGTAGTAGTAGTAGTAGTAGTAGTAGTAGTAGTAGTTGTAGTAGTAGTAGAAGTGGTCGTGGTCGTGGTCGTGGTCGTGGTCGTGGTCGTGGTCGTGGTCGTGGTCGTGGTCGTGGTCGTGGTCGTGGTCGTGGTCGTGGTCGTGGTCGTGGTCGTGGTCGTGGTCGTGGTCGTGGTCGTGGTCGTGGTCGTGGTCGTGGTCGTGGTCGTGGTCGTGGTCGTGGTCGTGGTCGTGGTCGTGGTCGTGGTAGTAGCAGAAGTCGTTGAAGCAGCAGCAGCAGTAGCAATAGCTATGAAAGCATTAGTAGAAGTTTCTATCTTAGCAATAGTAGCATTTACCTTTTCAGAATTAAGACATAATAATTTCAGCAAAGCTGAAATTGTCGTCTTATGTATGAATATCAAAATGTCAAGAAAATTAAAACGTGATATGAGACATTTAAGTGCTTATAAAGCTTTAGATGAAACTATAAACAGTCATAGAAAATTAGAAAGCAGCATCATCCGGTTTACCTCTGACAAAGATAATAGCGACTATAACTCAACAACAGAGCGCTAGCAAGCAACCAGGTTGGCGCATAAAACCAGCCCGCATTCCACGAGGGAATTCCATCCCCCATAGAATCCTTTTTCTTGTCACTAGTGACTAGGCTATGAGGACGATCACCAAAAGTTATCTAGGATGCATAAAATGGAACTTTTTTCTCCTTTGGTAGACATAAGGACTCTACAAGAAGCGTTTCAGCTTATAGGATAAGACTAAAAAAATGGAGGCCTATGCTAAACAAAGAGGTTCTGATATCAACACAGCCCAAACCCAACGCACCGACACAGATCGCAGTCAATGCAAACCCACTTAAATTTGTAGACTACAGGCCAGTAATATACGTTGACCATTGGACAGAGAGACCATATGTATTACTATTATTATTATTATGATTATTATTAAAATCACAACTACTTGCTAGTAGTTAAATTACTTGTGCAATATACATAATTTACATTCATTTAAAAAGCATATTTTACAAAAAATATAAATCGTATAATAAAACAATCTAAATATAAACAATTAAAAATATTAATAACAATAATCCTACTTAGATTTGCGTTCCAAAGGAATTGCCAAAGGTCCCAATTACAGTGACCTCGTTTGGTTCCTTGGCACAAAAAGATTTCGAATATAAGCCTGGAAAGCTGGTTGTGCTTTGGCTAGCTCCGACGTGAAATTAAAATCAGTGTTTCTGCTGACCTGGTGTACGCAGTTTATCTTGTAAATTCATTGTTTCTACGGTGATCTCGACCACTCCCATCACTCATTTGTCGACCGTTGGCTATTATAAGCGTTTAAATTTTAGGCTGACCGTAGGTTTAAAAAATGCGTACATCGCACACCATGGTATAGGGTGACCCTACATGTTGAGACGAGTCTTATTCACCGATAAGTCCTGTGAGTAACTAAAAAAAGCGTATTGATACTACATGCCCCTATTTTCCCGTCATTTAGAGCAAAAAGTTTATAGTAAATGATTTGGTTTTCCTTTTGTGTATGACATCATGTAAGAGCAAGGAAAGGAAGAATACTCGCCAACAAAATATTTTATTGAGCTGGGCCAAGGACCTTAATCAAGGGCAGGATGCCCCAAGATTTGCAAGATTTTCCTGCTGGTTACTAACTTGATAATACCTTTCGCACTATGTATGAAAAAAAATCCCTAAGAGTCCCTTACTCTTACCTCAGTGAGACACCATATCCGGCACGTCTAGGTACTATTGTTATTTACCTCCTCGACGTAACTCAAACGGGATGTTATGAAAATGACGTAGGTTCCAGAACATAGATGAGAGTATTTTTACTCTGTATACAGAAAGGCACCAACAGTTTCCTATTTCAACCGCGGGGAAGCACCATATTCAGCGTGCCTAAGCTCAATTCTCTGACGTAACTCAAGGGGGACTTTAAGCATGTCTCAGTGACGGACAGACAAGACTAGTTTGACTACTTAGTCGGAGACGTGCGATTATGCCTTTCCTTTCTGATGAGATACTCATGGGAACTGTCTAATCACGAGAAGGTAATATTTATTGAAAAGGTTTAAGATTTTGATTTTTGTATGCGGCACTCTTCATACCACTAGAAGGGCTCGATTTTAGCAGAGTTTCCTATCCCGTAGGCAAAACTCTCTCGGTTTCCGCAATCTCAATTGACAAAAAGATGCTTTGCGAAGCAGTTCACGCTGTGATAAATTAAAACATACTATTAACAACTAATCCGACCTGACTCGTCACCAGAGCGAAGTTGAATTATGTAGATATGCGTAGTAACATGCACGTGCTGTCATCTAAAGCCTAGATCGACTTAGTGAAGGATAATCAAATCCCTCAGTTTGATACGAATCAGCGGTAATACCATAATTGTTAGTAAAATATTCTTTCAGTGCCCTTAATTACATATGTTTTCCTAAATGAGCTAAACTCGCTGATACATCGTTTCGTGCATTGCATGAGCGCTTGAAATATCTTGACCCTTCTATTCCAGTGTATGACGTCATTTGCAACGATTACACAAGCAAAGTCATTTGTTGAGCGAGTGAATTTCTAAGCAAGAATCTCTTATCACAAAAGCAGGATAAAGGTAAACCACTGTTGTTATAGTCGACGGAAAGTTTGAAACAAAATTGTCCGTCGGACTAGATGACAGGGTTAAATGTGCGATCTGTAGGAGCATTTTCGACGAGCCTTGACAAACGTCCTGCGGAGTTCGCTTTCATAGAAACTGTCTGGAAGTCTATTCTTGAACTGCAGAAGTCTCTTTCGCCGAAAATTAGGTAGGTCGAGAAAAATTTAATATCTTCACCCTTTAAATTGATGTATTTGTTGTGGTGGTCAAAGTTTTCGAAACTCTGAATACCGGCAATCCTAAATTATTTAGTAAGTTTGACGAAAAGAAGGGACCCGGCCACTCCAAACAAGATTTAACATATGTTGTTTAATAAGCACAATGAGAACCTTTATAGATCTTAATTCTCCCGCTCAGTTGCGCTGGGCGCAGAAAATAGAATCATAGTAGGTGACATTCGAAAACCTCGACCAGCTGGTGGTCACTCAGCTTCAGCGTAATATCAAAAGTCGCCACGCATGGACTTGAATGGGCCATTTCCGCATTAACTTAAGTCCGACAACTTTGTTGTGTCGTGAAGGAAATGTGAATCTGATTTCTTTGAGTTTTCCGCAAATAAGCGTTGAATATGTTATTTATGTGTATTTCGACATCAGTCTCAACTTTCTGAAAAAAAGGAACCATTATAATTTGAATAAGCGAAAAGGGAAATTATCTTTGGCATAGGGGCCTCGAGAGTCTCTTGATTTTGTTCGTAAGTCTTAATCAAAAAGACTCATCTTGTATTTCTAAAAAAGACGAGTGTGCCTCAAATACACACTTGTGCAGCGCTGATCGATGCTGTTTGAACCAATATTTGGCCGGAAACGTTTGAATAACTATGTATTTGTGGTAAAGTAAGTTATGACACATTTACATTCAGGAACTCAGTGAATAAGTGAATATTTACATGTAAAACTTGAACGCAATTTATTTGCCACGTCAAGGTTGTTTTGAGAGGTTGTTGCTCGATCGTTCGGGAATGGCATTCGACATCACTAGAACTCGTTAGCCATCTTTAGCTTTAAATATGGCTAATAAGGCCTTCATTTCTGTTTTCCGCTCGAATTCCGTAATGCAGCTCAAAATGGAAGGTAATTTATCGACGTCTTTGGCAGCAGAGAGAATGAAATGACAGGCCATGTCATGCGAATTAAGTGAACTTACGAAAATTTGCATGATGACACTAAAGTGTTATGAGGTCCAAATCGGAGTAAGACGATTATTTCCTTATGTGACTATTCAACAAAAAGGACCGATCAAATCTTTTACTTTCTCATCAATATTTAAGGTTGCTTCCCGTAAATGAACAACACATGCCTTTTTTAATTACCTAATTTTGCTGCGTCATTAGTAGGTGACATTATGCAGCTCCGTAAAATTGCGTTCATTCTGGAATAACGTAGAGTGGGTACATATTCATTGTAATTATACACATATGTATATGGGAGGATATAAATAAATTATAATATATATAAAATTATAAAAATTGTAATAAAATATATATATTATATATTATATACATATTAGATTTATATTATAAAATATAAATTACCTGTTATACTCTCCCGCCGATCAGCGGCAGCCTCGTTCCTTTGTATTTTCGTCCTCAGGGACTCCTCATAAAACGTCTCGAGGACTAAAACAATGCTAGAACCATTGACAGTTGGATCTTTAAGTTCGACAAGCTTACTATTACAAACATTAGAGCATCACGCTTCCACACGTCATTGCAGGGTCCATTTTATGGAAAAAAAACAATGATTGTCTCATCACGACAACTCCCTGATAATGAGTTTCAAGGCGCGTTAAAAAAAAAAAGTTAGTTTAAACATATTTATGCGAACAGTAAGTTTTGAGCCGGTGTAAAAGACAGAATACAGATGCGGAGAGAGAATTAAAAGCACGTAAAGACTCTAATGCCAAGGAAAAGTTAAGGGTCGTTGAGGAACACTAAAGGTTCGTAAAGAGAATTAACGGCGCGTAAAGATTGATTGTGCGTAAAGAACAGTGGGTAAAGATGCGTAAAGAATATTAAAGACGCGTAAAGTGTTAAAAGCGAAATTGGTCAAAATACCTCGGTAATTATACTGAAGATGAATGAGCCATAATTATTTCACTTCTTTAAGTATTTCTCCAAATAGAAATTGGTTAATTATATCCATCTTGATCCTTATCCTTTACGAACATTTAATATCCTTTACGCAGTCTTTACGCTTTCTCTGCATTAACGCATCTTTACGGAACGCGGAACTTGTCCGTAAAGAAGAGGCTTTATATTTATGTTTCTTTACGCAAGAGTTAAAGATGCGTAAATTTGTGATTTCATGCCGTGAATGAAACCACTATGTGCGACACTTTTTCCGCCTCGGATGTGAAAAGCCATCTGGTTCTGTCGAATTGGGATATACCAGGAGTAAGTGCTAAATGGCAAATGATGGTTTTATTTTCTCCATCAGACAAGATGACCCAAGATGTCCGATAGACGGCGGATCAATTTCAGGAAAACAATCTTTTAGGGTTAAATGCTGTGAGAGAGAAGTTCTTAATCTCCAGTGTTTCTGCCGATTTAATAACAAAGGATGCGAGTGGAAAGGGGAGCTCAGACATCTAAAGGTAATTTGTGTAATATTTGCATGCACCCTAATCGATCTACCCAAGTAGAGTGGCGTTAACGTCGTGAACTTGCCTGCCTTCAACACTTAAACAAAGCTTTTGGCTGGTTGAAATCAGCAAACTTTCGGGCAATTAACTTGGCTAAGACGTACGTGAGGTATATCTCGCCGCGGAAAGCTGCAAAATCTTCGAAAGGCTTCTAGAAAGTACAATACCCTGGCTGGTCACGCACACAAACATGTTGCGAAATTTTCAATCAACTGTCTCGGCTAGAAATTTCTAGCAAACATGACGGCCTAAACAGGTACTGATTTCTGACATTGTGAGAGATTGCTGCCTGTGTAACGATGAAACTTAGAGACTGCTGTTTAAAACTTAAAGACCATCCCAGACAAGCTCTTACAATTCAAACAATATGAGTGGCGTGACTTCCTAACATGTAAATACCTGCTTGAAATAGCGAGAAAAAGTAAAAAATAAAACCCATTACAAAGCAGAAAACATATTTTCAATTAACTTTTTTTTATGCTCCATGCTATTTATTTTAACAGACACACGAAGATAGCTGTTAGTACGGTTTTTTGAATTGTCAAGCGTGCGGTGAAACTATGGAGAGAAGATAGCTCACGGCGCACAGGGAGCAAGATTGCACCAACAGGGCAGTGACGTGTATTTACTGTGGCGTGTAGTTCGGCATAGCTATATGAAGGTAAGATGATCAGCTCCATCGTTAAAGCAAAAACAAATTATCCAAAATCTATGTCTTCAAGAGACCGATATGGTTGACACTGACATGCTCGACGTTTGTCTCAAAATATGAAGACTGTAGAGAAATGCCAGTTGAGTTTCACGTCAGCAAATACACGAACATGAAGTTTATATTTTCGAAATTTACATCAGTTTGGTTTGGTCTGATATGAACAAGGTGTAAATAATATAATCATATCGTCTATACCGCATAAAAGCTCAACTCGACCCCAACTTATATTTTATATCTTTAAAGGACCATTTGGATGTCTGCCCTAAGTTTCCGATCCATTGCTTCTTGAACTGTGGACAAAGGTATATCAAGAGACATGATGGAAGAACACATGACCAAACGTTGTCTTATAGCTGAACATCTATGTCCTTTCAGGATTCATGGGTGTGAATTTAAGGTTAGTTGTTTACTTTTTTTCCATTTTGTTTGATTTTTCGTCCCAATATGTGATTCATAAATGTCTTAGCAAACAAGGATCTAAGAGCAGAAAATAGCGTATCGGACCCAATATAAAGACCAACTTATGTAATTTGTATTGCCACAATTCAAATCAGTTTTTCTCTTTCTTCAGGACACTAAACAAACAATCGATGAACACATTGCTAAGAATATCGAGTCTCATCTTGAAATGATGAACCATTCAAGCCATGATTGTAACGAGAAATCAAAACAGATAGAAGAGAAGATGTATCGTTTAGAACAAGAAAAAAAATTGCTTTGGAACATCAACTACAAAATCAAGCAGAGGTGTTGGTAGCTGCAAGACAAAACATACAAACGCAACAGACAAAATTGTCCTACGTAGAAAAATCCATCATCAAACAAAACAGGACAACTGAGAAACTGCTTGCTGATTTGAAGGTTTTTGAGTCATCTAGAAGGGGGATGCTGTCTCGTCTCAGATTGAAGAAATGATGAACACGCTGTGAGAACACGAGAAGGAGGTGAGCAGTCTCCAGGGTGAAGTGGCTCGTTTGAAATTATCCCCTGCCACGCCGAAAGGTGTGAGTAACTAGCGTCCGAAATCCGACGTGTCTGTCACTCGTGAGTCCGAGCGCCAGCTGGACAGGAATAAGCACCAACTAGCACTGAGCGACATTTAATTGTCCGATCAGGATATGCAGATTCAAATGTTGGAGGCTACATCGTATAATGGCACTTACTTTTCGAAGATGGGCCGCTACAGCCAACGCTTCCAAGAGGCTTTTGATGAAAAAACTATCAATTTGCAGCCCTCCTTTCTATGTGGGACAATTTGGGTACAAAGTATGTGCATTGGCAAAGGAACGCATTTTTCAATGTTCTTTGTTGTCATGAGGGGTGAATAGGATGCTTTATTACCTTGGCCGTTTCTCCAAAAGGTCCACTTTCGACTGATAGACCAGGACAGTAGGATCGGGGACGCGTATGATGCGTTTCGCCCTCAAGCTTAAAAGACCTACGTCAGACATGAACATAGCATCTGGCTGCCCGACGTTTATTTTTCACATTAAACTAAGGCAAGGTGGCTGTATTCGGAACGATACAATGTTTATCAAAATGACTGTGGACAACACTGGTCTGCAAGGACATTTGTGGCAGTAAATCCTTGCCTTTTGCAACCTCTCTGGTCAATACCCTTGCCAAACGGTTTTTGTGGTTTAGTTGGTCAAATTCCCTTAGTCGTGTGCAAGGTTCCTGAAATTTAGATCAGTTATTTGTTGTTTCAAAAACCAAGCTCCCGAGCCAATCTTCAATTATTTGGATATCTTTTATAATATAAGTCAGTTTTCAAAAAACCAGTTAGATCATCGTTGTTGACTGTTGATCATCTATGATGATCTGACGGTCTCTCTATAATTGAAAATACTTGTTAATTAAATAAGACAGCTTGACCCAGTCTTTCACGATGCTTTTCTAATAGTATTAGTTTCATGAAACCTTTTTGAAATTTTGTATATATTTTTTGCCTTCTCACAAAAAAGATAATATCTAGAATAAGGAAAAAAATCAAGCAAATTTCCCTATTTCTCTCTCAGTGAAAAACCTTGTTCGTCGTTTCTAATAACTTTTGGTATTCATTTCCTTGGGGCAACTCAATCTTGATGTCACGAAAGTGAGGCAAGTAATAACGCACACCGTGAATAGCATTTCATCAGGTACGTAAACTGTGATGCAAAGAGCTTCTCTTGAAATATCTGAGGGAACTGTGTGAGCAGGTGATATTTACCGAAGAAGTTAAGATATGATAGATCTATTCGGGCATGATTTTAACCAATTGCAGGTTTAAACTGTTCCATTTTTTTTCAGCACTCAAAATTTTATCCGGCTATATGAGGCCTTGAATTCTTGCTGAAGCAGTTTAAACTGACCTTATCTCGTCGGCAAAACTCTCACGGTTTCCGCAATCTCAATTGACAAAAAGATGCTTTGCGAAGCAGGTCACTTTGTGATAATTAAAACATACTATTAACAACTAATCCGACCTGAATCGTCACCAGAGCGAAGTTGAATTATGTAGATATGCGTAGTAACATGCACGTGCTATCATTTAAAGCCTAGATCGACTTAGTGAAGGATAATTAATTCCCTCAATTTGATACGAACAAGCGGTAATACCATAATTGTTAGTAAAATATTCTTTTAGTGCCCTTAATTACATATGTTTTCTCAAATAATCTAAACTTGCTGATACATCGTTACGTGCAACATGCACGTACTGTCATTGTGTGAGCGCTTGAAATATCTTGACCTTTCTGTTCCAATGCACTGATCACGTCATTTGCAAAGATTACACAAGCAAAGTCATTTGTTGAACGAGTATAGACCTTCAGCAAAATTTCTTATTCGCTTCCCTAACGCAGCTTAAACGGGATGTTATGAAAATGACGCAGGTCCTTAAACACAGACGAGAGTATTTTTATTCTGTATATAGAAAAACACCAAGAGTCAATCTCAATCGACCAAAAGATGCTCTGTGGAGCAGGTCACGCTGTGATAAGTAAAACATACTATTAACGACTCATCAGACCTGACTCGTTACCAGAGCGAAGTTGAATTATGCACGTACTGTCATTTAAAGCCTACACCGACTTAGTGAAGGATAATCAATTCCCTCAATTTGATACGAATAAGCGGTAATTGACCAAAAGATGCTCTGTGGAGTAGGTCACGCTGTGGTAATAAAAACATGCTATTAACAACTAATCCGACCTGAATCGTCACCAGAGCGAAGTTGAATTATGCACGTGCACGTGCTATCATTTAAAGCTTAGATCGACTTAGTGAAGGACAATCAATTCCCTCAATTTGATACGAATAAGCGGTAATAACATAATTGTTTGTAAAGTATTATTTTAGTGCCCTCAATTACATATGTTTTCCTAAATAAGCTAAACGTGCTGATAGCACGTACTGTCATTGCGTGAGCGCTTGAAATATCTTGACCTTTCTGTTCCAATGCACTGATTACGTCATTTGCAACGATTACACAAGCAAAGTCATTTGTTGAACGAGTGTAGACCTTCAGCAAAATTTCTAAGCAAGAATCTCTTACCAGAAAAGTAGGATAAAGGCTTTTCAGAGGTAAACCATGGTTGTCATAGTCGACGGAAAGTTAGAAACAAAATTGGTCGACGGACTAGATGAGAGGGTTAAATGTTCGATCTGTAAGAGCATTTCCGACGAGCCTAGACAAACGTCATGCCGACAACGCATTTGTAGAAACTGTCTGGAGCTCCTTTTATGGTAACTCTATTCTTAAAAGTCTCTACCACAGAAAATTAGGTAGGTCGGGAAAAATTTAATATTTTCACCTTTTAAAGTTATGTATTTGTTGTGATGGTCAAAGTTTTCGAAGGTATAACTACTGGCAATCCTAAAGTATTAAGTAAATTTGACAGAGAGAAGGAACTCGGCCAATCCAAACAAACTATAACATAATTATGCTGTTTAAGAGGCACAATACGACCCTGAGAACCTTATAGATCTTAAATCTTCTGCTCATCTGCGCTGGGTGCAGAACATGGAATCATAGTTGGTGACATTTCAAAACCTCTATTAGCTGGCGGTCACTCAGCTACAGCGTATTATCAAAAGTCGCCACGCATGGACTTGAATGGGCCATTTGCGCATTAACTTAGTGCGACAACTTTGTCGTGTCGTGAAGGAAATGCGAGTCTGATTTCTTTGACTTTTCCGCAAATAAGCGTTGAATATGTTGTTTATGTATATTTCGACATCAGTCTCAACTTTCTGAAAAAAGGAACCATTATAATTTGAATAAGCGAAAAGGGAAATTATCGTTGGCATAGGGGCCTTGAGAGTCTTGATTTTGTTTGTAAGTCTTAATAACTTAATAACACTTTGTTTTGAGAGGTTGTTGCTTGATAGTTCGGGAGCGGAATTCGACACCTCTGAGACTGGTTGCCATCTTGAGCTTTAAATATGGAAATTCTTCGTAAAGATGAGGCCTTTAATTATGTTCTCCGCTCGAATTTCGTACTGTGACTCGAACTGGAGGGTTATTGGTCGATGTCTTTGGTAGCAGAGAGAATGAAATGACAGGCCAAGTAATGCAAATTAAGTGGAGTCACGGAAATTCGCATGATGACACTTAAAGTGTTATTAGGTCCAAATCGGAATAAGACGACTATTTCCCTATGTGACTATTCAACAGAAAGGACCGACCAAATCCTTTATTTTTTTATCATTATTAAAGGTTGCTTCTCGTATATAAACAACAGAGGCGTCTTTAAATTAGTTTATTGTGCTGCGTCATTTGTACGTGACATGCAACTTGTGAAATAACGTTTATTCTGGAAATGACGTCACGAATATCTATGCAGATATAAAGATTGGGGAGTAGAAGCTATATATACTGAAGTTTGAGCGTTTATCTTCATATAGAATAGAAATTCAGTGGAAAGCTGAGGGCGCTTCATTGACTCATTTCATTGGCTGAACTATGGTTGTCACAATCGACGTAATAGTGGATACTGATATGAAATTCGTAGACAGAGTAGACGATCTGTAAGAAGGTTTTCGATGAGCCCTGGCAAACATCATGTGGACATCGATTTTGTAGGGATTGTCTGGAACGTCTTTTAGGGTAGGTAGAAATTTATCATTGACTACTTATTTCTTATACACTCCTGCTTTTCGTCCAAAATAAAATCACTTCAGAAAAATTGAAATTAGCTTTATTTAAATTTCTATTTGGCAGCTGAAAGTGTCCTTTACGGGCGTGAATGAACCATCACTTCCGAGTTACGTCCGACGCTTCCTCCAACTCGGATGGGAAAAGCCATCTGGTTCTGTCGACTTAAGAATAAGCGCTGAATGAAATAATTAATTGTACGGTTTTAGCTAACTTCGAATTTTCTCCTTCAGACAAGAAGACCCAAGATGTCCGACAGACAGTGAATCAATTTCAAGACAGCAATCTTTTAGGGATAAATGCTGTGAGAGAGAAGTTCTTAATCTCCAGTGTTTCTGCCGATTTAATAACAAAGGATGCGATTGGAAAGGGGAGCTCAGACATCTACGGGTAATTATTGAAATATTTCCATGCACCTTAATCGTACCCAAATAGGGTGGCTTTGTGAACTTACCTGCCTTCAACACTTAAAACGCAGCTTTTGGTTGAAATCAGCAAACTTTCGTGTAATTAACTCTAATTTTGCATGGTTAAGACGTACGTGAGGTGCATCTCGTCGCCGAAAGGTGCAAAATCTGCGAAAAACTGCTAGAAAGTACAATAACCTTGGCTGGTCACGCACGCAAACATGCTGCGAAATTTTCAATCAACGGTCTCGGCTAGAAATTTCTAGCAAACATGACAGCCTAAACAGGTGCTGAATTCTGATGTTGTGAGAGATTGCTGCCCGTGTAACGATGAGATTTAGAGATTGCTATTTAAAACTTTAAGACCATCCCAGACAAGCTCTTACAATTCATACAGTACGAGTGGCGTGACTTCCTATGCCTGAAATAGCGAATAGAAGTAAAAAATAAAACAAAATTACAAGACAGAAAACATATTTATAATTAACTGTCATTTAAGCTCCGCGCTATTTATTTTAACAGACTCATGGAGATAGCTGTCAGTATGGTAATGTGAAATGTCAAGCGTGCGGTGAAACTATGGAGAGAAGACAGCTCACGTTGCACGGGGAGCAAGATTGTATCAACAGGGCTGTGGCCTGTACATACTGTGGTGGTGAAGTTCGGCATAGCAATATGAAGGTAAGTTGATCAGCTTCATCGTTAAAACAAAAAAAACTATGCAAAATCTGTATCTTTAAGAAAGCGATATGGATTCACACTGACATGCTCGACGTTTGTCTCCTAATATGAAGACTGTAGAGAAATGCCAGATGAGGTTCACGTCAGCACATACAAGCACATGAAGTTTATATTTTCGAATTATACATCAATTTGGTTTGGTCTGGTATGAACAAGGCATATCGTATCGTATCGTTTATACTGCATTAAAGCTCAACTTGACCTCAACTTATATTTAATATATTTTAAAGGACCATTTGGATGTCTGCCCTAAGTTTCCAATCCAGTGCTTTTTGAACTGTGGTGAAGAAGATATACCAAGAGACATGATGGAAGAACACGTGACCACGCGCTGTCTTAAAGCTGAACATCTATGTCCTTTCAGTGTTCATGGCTGTGAATTTAA